AAAAATTTACACTAGATAGTTTAAAATCCATTTCTACATGTAGTTGGGCCAGTAGAAACATATGTTGGTAATTTACACTGAGAAATTATAAGAAATAGCCCAATAAAACAAGGGAAGTTTTCAAAAGTACTGTTAATTTCATTCCTCAGTGTATCATTGCTATGGACTGAATGGTGTTGCCCCCAAAATTCAGATGTTGAGACCCTAAACTCCAATGTAAAAGTATTTGGAGATGGGCCTTTCAAAGGTCATGAAGGTAGAAACCTCATGATGGGTTTAGTGTCCTTAGAGAAGAAGAGAAAAGAGAGAGATTGCTCTCTTTCCACCCTGTGAAGACACAGCAAGAAGGTGGCCGTCTGCAAACCAGGAAGAGAGCCCGCACCAGAACCCAGCCATGCTGGCACCTTGATTTGGGAATTCCCAGCCACCAGAACTGTGACAAATACTTGTCTGTATAAATACCTGTCTATATATAAATACAAATACCTGTCTATGGTATTTTGCCAAAACAGCTCAAGCTAAGACAGTCATTATGAGGCAAAGCATATAGAAGAATTTTTTCTCTAGTTTTAGTAGAGAAAGAGTTTGGCATCTCAGGAGATGTGATCATGAATCTATAACTGTTTTTTACTCATCGCATTGAATGTTAAACTTAGAACCAAATTTGCCATTGTACTCTAGTAAAGGTCTAGAACTTTCCCACATACACTTTGTATATTAACTTTACTCCAAAACACCTTTTACATTTCATACCAACCTTTTCTTTTTTCTCATCCACAATCTTGTAATTTTATTACATTTTGCTGTATGTATATATGCAATTTGCCTCAAATCCTTTCAAAAACAAGGCAGTTTATAAGGAAGAATATAAATGAATGAATGAATGACATTTCCATTTGAGAATTAAAAATATAAATGTTCAGGGCTTCCCTGGTGGCCCAGTGGTTGAGAGTCCGCCTGCCGATGCAGGGGACATGGGTTCGTGCCCTGGTCCGGGAAGATCCCACATGACGTGGAGCGGCTGGGCCTGTGAGCCATGGCCGCTGAGCCTGCGCGTCCGGAGCCTGTGCTCCGCAACGGGAGAGTCCACAACAGTGAGAGGCCTGTGTACCGCAAAAGAAAACAATAAAAAAAAAAATAAAATAAATAAAAAATAAATGTTCATAGCTGTATTGGGAATTGTATACAAATATTTATTTGAAGAAATTTTATCTCAACAATGCTCATAATCCTATGAAAATGATTTTCCTATTCCAGGGGTCCTTCATTTGGGGGTCCAAGGGTCCTGTGAACAGAATTCAGGGAGTCTGTACACTTAAATGGGGAAAATATATCTTCATTTTCACTGATCTCTAACTCAAACTTAACATTTCCTTCTAATATAAATACTGGCAATAAACCACCAAAGTTTTATCGGCATCTGTGATTTTGTTTCCCATAGAAACAAAATGAGGTATTCTCATCGCCTGTATCATTGTTGAAGGTATCTGTAAATATCATTTATGCTCCTTATCAGTATTCAAATGTCACCAGACTTGCTGCTAGACTGTTATTTAATGCATTAATAAAGAAGCACATATATTACTATATCATACATTTTTTGATTATTATATTTTTATATATTTGGTTTCTTTGTCATCCTTTGTGTTTTGTTTTATACATTTAAAAACATTATTCTGAAAAGGAGTCCACAGGGCTTCTTCAGACTGCCAAGAGTGTGCCAGCCATTAAAGAAGTCAAAACTCTGAAAAACACAAAGTGTTTAGGCAGCATTTTACAGAGTGTTTGCAAATATCTTAGTGAGAGCTATACTATGACTAGAGAATGGTGGTTTCTCTTAATTAAAGAACAGTGGCATTCTCTTTTAAATAAGAGGGAATATTAGAAGCTGCACGAGTCTCATAGTCCCTTTGACAATAAAGGTCACAATCAGCCCCCATGCAATAAATCCATTCCTTAAGTCTGCATTTATAACTTCTGAAAAGACATTTTACATTTGTGAACCTTTGGGTCAGCATTTCTATGACTGAGAGAGACAGACAGTTGACTTAACATTTTGAACATCTCTTAAGAAGCAGTACATTTGACTCAGTCACATTAAGACATTATCCAAGCCCCTTCCTTTTTTTTTTTTTCCCTTGTGAGTCAGCCTTCTTTTGAATTTTTATCAGACCCTTTGGTACTTTTAGCACAACTGGAGTAGGGCAAGAATAAGGAACTAAAACAAAAGGCTGTCAGTTTGATTACTCCACACACACTTGAAAATTATTTAGTTACTGTTGTGACATTCACAACTAGGACCTGATACAATGGAGTGCATGTGATTGTGTGGGTGTGTTGGGGGGAAGAGTATACATGTGGTGACGCCACTCCACAAAGGCCACGGGCACGGGCCTTTGTTCCTGCTTCCCAAATTCATTTATCAGGTGAGGGAGTCAGGACCGACTGGGCAGATTTACTCTCACCCCCAGTACTCTGTACTGCAACTACCACCAGAAGTGGGGAGTGAGGCAGCATGGCGGGTCCTGCAATGGTGGAGTTTATCCTTTCTCTCTCTTTCAGGCCAACAGGAGGGTATTATACCTGGGCCACCTGCCCCTATTCCAGTGAAAGCTGTAGCTGGAAACTGAAGTTCATCGTTAAATGCTAAGGCACCAGCTCCTCTGAGTACGCATCACTTTGCATAACTAGTACGTTTTCCAGATGTCTGATTTCTTACCTTTTAAACAATGATACTTTTTTCATGTTAGTTATTTTACACAACCGAATGTATTATACTATATACCTCCTATGTACTTAGAAAAGTAGCCCCAAATTAGTTTAACCTTATATTGGTGACTCTGGGTCAACATTGAAAACATCCACTCTCTTGCATGAGCGTATTACAGGTGTGAACTAAGAATGCCGCCTGCCATATCAGTAAACAAAGGATGTTGCAGCCATCGAGCCATCACATTACAGCCTCCCCTACGGTGAGCCCTGAGGGAACTCAGGATGGAAACAGGATGCCCGCCATCTAACAGTCTGCTGCTGCAGCCACCCACGACGGTGAATGCTGAGGAGGCTCAGGATAAGGAAGAACAGGATACTGGCCCCCGAGAGCTGAGGTGCTTATCAAAGGAATGATTTCAGTGAGCCCAGACTCTTGCATCTCCCCATAAGTATAAAAGTGCTAAATTCCTTAATTTGAGATACCTGGTTTTCTTTAGTTAACAGTAAACTTTCAATGTTCCGACTACCTGGTCTTTGTTGCAAAAACTCCTATATATCCTGGCTCCCCACCTTGCCTCTTCGGAGCAATCCCTCAGAGTGATCTGAGAGTCCTGTCTCCTGAGCTTGAAGTCCTCAGAATGTCTGCTGAATAAAACATAACTCTCAACTTTTAAATCGTGCGTTTTTTTTCAGGTGACAAAGGGTAATCCCCAGGATCCACTGAGGGTCTCTGACCATAATTTGAATTGATGCCGAGATGTTTGAGTTCTTAACAGCTGCTTTTTCTATTTTTGGTCTAATCCTTTCTTGTCAGACATTATTTCTTCCTGTTTTCAGTAATCCTAATGAAGAAATTCTTGTATGCTCCAATAGATTTGGAAGCCAGATATGCAGTAATGAAGAGACTGAGGGCTTGAGGGCGTTTTGAATGTTATAAAACTACGGTGCATGAGATTTACTATTTGTTGTTTATGATATCTACTTGAGTATTCACAGAGTTTTACTTATTTGCTGATTCTTTGCTGTGTGTTGGATGTGTGAGTTTATGGTATAGATAATTTCCAAATAAATGAGGTTCAGCTACGTTTGGTTTTCTGTGTCAGTGATCCAGAGAGGCCACCTTGCTCTCATAGGTATGTCTATATACCAGCTCAAAGAAATGCTCATTGCAGTTTTTGGCTGACAGCAAGCTTCTGCTGTTGAGTTAAAATCTCCTTAATCTAGTAACTGAAATATTTACAGACCTTGACTACACAAACCGTGGGTCCTGCTGTCAGAAATCTCTGAGTCACTCACTCATTTTCACAGAGGCAGCAAAGCCCAGTTTTCCCACTTCCTCTTTCACCCATGCTTTATTTGTCTCATTTAGCTGTAACCACACCACATGGTGGAAGGACTCTGAACACGTATTGAAATCCTGCTTCTGCCTCCAGCTAGCTGTGTGGGACTTTGGGGAAACTACTGTTCATACCAACTCTCAATTCCTCCATCTGTTTAGTGATTACAATTTAGAACTCAGGGTGTTTGTGAGGATGAAGTGGCATAATTCTCATGAATTTACTCAGTTAGATGCCTAATAATCGTTTCCTCTCTTTCCCCATGTTCCTTTATTCTCCTGTTTGTTTAACTCTCAAACACCCAATTATATAGATCACCTTCAAAACACGTAGTTGTCATCTGCAGTCAATGTTGATCAGCAAGCTAACAACTTTAGTCATTCTTAACAAGTCCCCATCAGGTTTTGAATGAAGCTGTGTGACAGCACTGTCACATTGTCTTAGGAGCATATACAAGTCCATGTTCATGTCTGTCAGCCCTTACCCAAGTGTTTCTTGAGGGGAAGGTTGGCATCTCATTTATCTTTTCCTTCCCAAGTCTTAGCCCATCACCTAGGACATTAGCAAACATTGAACAAATGAAAAAAAGAATGAAGAGGACTTCCCTGGTGGCACAGTGGTTGAGAATCCACCTGCTAATGCAAGGGATGCGGGTTCGAGCCCTGGTCCGGGAAGATCCCACATGCTGCGGAGCAACTAAGCCCGTGCGCTACAACTACTGAGCCTGTGCTCTAGAGCCCGTGAGCCACAACTACTGAAGCCCACACACCTAGAGCCCGTGCTCCACAACAAGAGAAGCCACCACAATGAGAAGCTCATGCAACGCAACGAAGAGCAGCCCCCGCTCACCACAACTAGAGAAAAGCCTGCGTGCAGCAACGAAGACCCAACACAGCCAAAATAAAATAAATAAATAAATAAATATTTTTTTTAAAAAACAGGTTCTCGGACCTCGTTGTTTCTGGAGATTCTGAGTTAGTACTTCTGGAGTGAGGCCCAGGTACTTTTCTTTAAAAAAAAAAAAAAAAAAAAAAAGAATGAAGAACCATTTCGATATCTTGAATGAAGTTCTGTTTACATTAGGAGATTCCTAATCTGGTAGAGTCAGTAGCTGGAGATGAAGCCAGAGATCCTGAAAAACAAGAGGCCAAGTTGACCAAATCCATAGACAGTTACTTACCGATGGCTCTCTGCTAATCTCCTAGCACCACATAAGGTTATAACATTAACCTGGGAACTTGCCCACCGTATCTTCAATTTGGAAAAGAAAATTAAAACTCTTCATTTGCATTTCTAGACAGAGTCAGTCTATGCCTAAAATAGTCTTCTATTTTAAGTCATAAGAAAATTAATGAGAAGGCTGAAACTTCCTGGCTGTCTACTCAGCCCTTTCCATCTCAACATTTACCAAGACAGGTGTCTTTCTTAGGAGAAAAAACCAGCTGCCACCAAATAACCTGGTTTACCACCCTTGCTTTTCATGTCCTCGGGCTCCCTTGTCCTTCCCTTATTACCCCCACCCCTTGGTATTTTCTACCATGCACTATTCGCCGGACATTTTTCCATCTCCACAATTGCCAGGCCCATCTGTCTATGCTTCTCCCCGTCTCTCTACCTTCCTCCTCTTCCTGCATCTATCTATCTTGCACATCTTCAAAAAGTTCCACTTCTTAAGTGTAAATAGCTTTCTAGAAGCTTCAGCAATGTTTAGGGGGGGAGGAAAAGAAAAGGCAGTGAATTATAGAAAGAAATAAGAACAGAATGAGAAGAGGCCAAAAGGTATGATGAATGTGCTTATATTCCTTTCTGAAATATTTTAATGAGGGCTTCAAATTTTTAATTTTACCACTTAATTCATCTTTTTACCAAACTTATTCAGAAGTCAGCCTTCCTTCCCAAAGCAGTTTTTATATATAACAAAGAATAAAGCATACTTCATATTAATTTCAGACTTCCTAAGAAAAGACATTTGGAAAAGAATTATAAATATACCAGCCCCTATTGCAATACAATGGAAAGGTAATATGCGCTTGTAATTTCTAGATTATCCATAGGTGGTAATACTTCTGAAGGTTCTAATTTGTTGTTAAGTTTTACAGGATGAGAATATTTAGTTGTGATATCTGCAATTCAGGAACACAGTCCATTAAAAAATGAGTTACACAGTCCTTCACAGTTCCCATTTTTAAAGTGTAAATATGTATAATTATTTTAAAAACATAAGGAACTCCCTTACAAGTATGTCAAGACATCTTAGATGAGAAAAATTTTCTAATGGGACACATGGGGAAGAAGGTTAATGTATGCTAAAACATACCATTTCTTCTAAATATGATTTTCAAAAAAAGAAAAATTAACATTTATTAAATATTATGTATCTAGTGCTATCTCCTTTCCGTTCCCCAAAAATTTCTCTCAAGTAGAGCTCTTCTCTGAGCTCTCTGAGTTGAACTACCCAGGATTCCAAAAACCTCTTGTTCACAGCCCTGATCAATATCACAAATTTGTATTTATATGTGTGATGTAGATTAATTCTGCTCTATGGAAAACAGTATGGAGGTCCCTCAAAAAATTAAAAATAGAACTACCATATGATCCAACAATTCCACTTCTGGGTATTTACGCAAAAGAAATGAAGACACTAACTTGAAAAAGTATCTGCACACCCATGTTCATTGCAGCATTATTTACAATAGCCAAGATATGGAAACAAACTTAGTGTCCACTGATGGATGAATGGATAAAGAAAATGTGGTATACAGTTGTCCCTTGGTATCCGAGGGGGATTGGTTCCAGGACCTGCCGAGAATACCAAAATCTCCAGGTGCTCAGGTCTCGTAGTCAGCCCTCCGTATCCATCCCTCAGGTTCAACCAACCTTGGATCATGTAGTACTGCATGTACTTATTGAAAAACATGTGCATATAAGTGGACCTGTGCAGTTTAAATCCATGTTGTTCAAGGGTCGTCTCGTGTGTGTGTGTGTGTGTGTGTATACATACACACAATGGAATATTATTCAGCCATAAAAAATAAGAAAATCCTGCCATATGTGACAACATGGATGAACTTCAAGGGCATTTTGCTAAGCGAAATAAGTTAGACAGAGAAAGACAAATACTGTATGGTCTCACTTATATGTGGAATATAAAAAAACCTCATAGATACAGAGGACAGATTGATGGTTGCCAGAGGTGGGGAGGCAGGAAGGGGGCAGGGGAGGGCAGGGAAGGCAGCACCAGTGGAGGGGACGGGGGAATGGGTGAAGGTGGTCAAAAGGTACAAACCTCCATTTATAAGATAAATAAGTCCTGAAGATATAGTGTACAGCATGGTGACTATAGGTAATAATGCTGTACTGCATATTTGAAAGTTCCTAAGAGAGTACATCTTAAAAGTTCTCATCACAAGGAAAACAAAAATGGTAACTATGTGTGGAGATGGATGTTACCAAGACTTATTGTGGTGACCATTTTGCAGTATATACATCTATTGAATCATTATGTTGTACACCTGAAACTAACATAATGCTGTAAGTCAATTATATCTCAATTTTTTTTAATGAAACCCTAAAAACAAAAGAATAGACTATGTTTAGAATTTCAGATTTTAATCCTCAGCTACCCATGTTGTGGGTCTTGAATGCCTTTGAAAATACAATGAAGCTACAGACCTTCTTCCAGAAAAACACAAAACAAAACAAGAAAATGATTGTTTGTCCCGCTGCTCTATGGTGGCAGTGATCACATCTGTTTTGCTTCACCAGTTAAGCCTCATCACGGTACCTAAAATGTAACGGGACCTCAGGACTTGTGTTTAATGACTGCCTGACTGTTGGAAGAAACCAACAGTTTTTTCTACCTCCATACTCAACACTTCCTTCCTCCTTCCATCTCTCACTCAACCACCTTGCCTCCCATGTCTCAGAGGAATTAGAGACTATTCTTAGACACTTGCTGCCCTTCTCTTCCTATTGAATTTCTCCACCATGTTGGGGAGCCAACCCCTCCTAGTTCAGAGAAAGCATAACCTTTTTTTTTAACCGTGCCCTGTGGCTTGGAGGATCTTAGTTCCCAACCAGGGATAGAACCCAGGCCCCTAGAAGTGAAAGCACAGAGTCCTAACCACTGGACCGCCAGGGAATTCCCACGTAACCATTTTTAAATCCCACCAATCTCTAAAAAAGAAATCCCTTTCACTAAAGCCACACTTAGTCCCTGTTTGTTTTTTAACCTTCCCTTCATCAAGCTTCTTGAAAGAGATTTGTTTTTCTTGCTCCAATTCTCACCACACACTTGGTTCTCAAAGACCTGCAAGTGGACTGCAGGCTCACAGCTGCATCAGGATGCTCACAGGTGTATCAGGATGCTCACGCCAAAACTGGCAGGCATTTCCTCACTGAAGAATTCCATAGGCACTTTTCAATCCCTTGCTTACAAACCTCCCTACAGCATGGGATCCCGTCTTGATGTTCCCTTTCCCTTGGCTCTCAGGACTCTACTTTCTCCCATCTTCCTGTTAGCTTTCCTCAGATGCCTTGCTCGCCCTTGTCTCCTTTAATCCCTTAAATATTGATGCTCCCTGGGGTTCTTTTCACATCCCTACCTTCTCATGCTACATTCTATTTAACTGTCACCAATGCCAAAGGGTCTCAAAACCGTATTTCAAGCCAGAATTACATTCTGAGATCCAGAGACATCCATCTGATTGCCCACTGGCCATCCCCTATTTCCATGTACCAGTTTCCTAAACATGTAAAAAAAAAAAAAGAATTTATCATCTTTCCCTAAAAATGTGATCTTCACCCTCATCTTGATGAATGGCACCTGTCTCCTAATCTAGTATCTTCTTACTTTCTCTATTTTCACATTATCAATAAATTAATGGATATATTCATTTCTAAGTATAAAATAACTTATTGTTCAATTAAATTATGAAAATATTATTTATATTACTTTTACATACATATTTTTATTTACCTTATGACAACAAATCGATGTCATACTAATGTTTTAGAGAAGCTAAGGAATAGATAAAAGGTCTTTTAAATTAACACTATATAATTAGCCTCCAAAATGTCTTCAGGGGCTATAAAAGACTGTCCTATTTAATATTTGAAACATTTACCTTTATTATTTGTCTATACTATTATATCTATTCAGGGTAGGCATTTTGAGTTAAATCCAGTCCCTGTTAAGCTGAATCCTTATTCCAGTTAATAAGGTTTTTCTGTGTTATTATGTAAACAAATAAATTCCAAAATGATGTGTAGTTGTATGTATGCACTTATAAAAGAAACAGAAAGCCCTAAGGAGGCAGAACTTCATCTTCTGTTCCTGTTTCTGCCTCTGCTACACAAGATGGCCTCTGCTACATCACCTTGATATTTCCTCTGACATTAAGAAAGAAGTTAAGCCTGCTCTTTGGCTAATAAACATATCAGTTACATTTGTATACTCTTTAAAATGTTAATCCAATTTCATTTTGACCATAAAAACAAATCCTTGGAGGGGCTTCCCTTGTGGCGCAGTGGTTAAGAATCCGCCTGCCAATGCAGGGGACACGGGTTTGATCCCCGGACGGGGACGATCCCACATGCCGTGGAGCAACTAAGCCCCGTGTGCCACAACTACTGAGCCTGTGCGCTAGGGCCCTCGTGCCGCAACTACTGATCCCGCATGCTGCAACTGCTGAAGTCCACGCACCTAGAGCCCATGCTTCACAACAAGAGAAGCCACTGCGATGAGAAGCCCGCGCACCACAACGAAGAGTAGCCCCTGCTTGCCGCAACTAGAGAAAGCCCGCGCGCAGCAACGAAGACCCAACACAGCCAAAAATAAAATAAAATAAAAATCCCTGGAGTAGTAACAGCTTGTTTTAGATGGAGAAACTGAGCAGAGTCAGGAGAACTTGCCTAAGGTAAATGACAGCAGAAGAATCAAATGAGACATTATGATCCTGAGCCCAACCAACTTTCAAAAAACATGCCCAGCATATTGAAAAGATGAATGGGGTGATAATGTATATACAAGTTTGATCCAATCAATAGAAATACAAAGGTATATATAAATATACATATATACACACTATCAACAAAGATACTAAAGACAAACTAACCAAAGATCAGATCTAT